ACAGTCTATATAAAAGGAAACACCCTCCACCTAGTCCTCCGCTTTGTGGTCAATGTGGAAGTTTCATATATTGACTCCAAGTAAGTCATTTCTCCCCCAAAGTCCTGAGCAGCCTGTCTGTCGTACACCCCATCTTTAATTTTAATTCTAATGAGATTTAAATAAAATCCAATTCTAGTTGTCATTTTCAATCTCAAATTCTATGTAAGGTCAACTGTAAATGAAAAGAGATTATTATCTGCTGATGACTTCTATTTCCTTTAAGAATAAAAATTAAGGCTGGGATGTGGTGGCACATGCCCTTAATCTCAGCACTTGGGAGGCAGAAGCAGGAAGATCTCTGTAAGTTCGAGGCCAGCCTGGTCTATAGAGTGAGTTCCAAGACAGCCAGGGCTATTACACAGAGAAACCAGGTCTTGAAAAACCAAAAAAAAAAACCAAAAAAAAAAAAAAAGAAAGAAAGAAAGAATAAAAATTAGGCAGCCTCTATGGAAGTTTCCAATTCTGAGTGGTCCTCGTACATAGTTCTCCACACTGGGGAGAAAGAGATACCGAAATGAATTTAGGTTTTCCTCAACAGTGGATCATCACCTCGATGCTGACCTCCAAGGAGATCTTGCAGTCTAAGGAGTGGTCTGAACAGAACTATTTAGGCAAATTTCACATAAGGTGCAAGATTTTAACAGCTGCTCAAGAGACGCTCAAAACTGAATTAAGACAGACAACTCCTCATTTGGAGTTGCCACATGGCATCCTTAGACAAAGACGTTTTGTACAGATGGTGGCTATAGCCATTTTTCTGCATGGAGACAGTGGCAGGGACGGCGATGTCTGGATTCTATTACTAACCTGACAAGTGACCAAAGGAGCCCCAGGCTATACCTGAAGCTCAGAGACTGTACACCTGGGTCTTCAAAACTTGTCATACTTCTGTCACCAAATTTAGGTTTGAAGCAGTTTCACGGGCCCCTTTAAGAAAGCCGTATGGCTCAGCAGGTAAAGAAAGGCATTTGCCACCAGCTAAGCGGGACAACCTGAGTTTGACCATCTCTAGGACCCATATGGAGAAATGAGTGACTGACTCCCACAAGTCACGACCATCCACACACTGTGGCATGCACATGCTCACAGACCCAGACACACAATAAATAAATATATGTAAAAATAATTCCAGGGGCTGGAGAGATGGCTCAGAGGTTAAGAACACAGGTCCCGAGGTCCTGAGTTCAATTCCCAGCAACTACATGGTGGCTCACAACCATCCGTTATGAGATCTGGCGCCCTCTTCTGGTGTGCAGATATACATGGAAGCAGAATGTTGTATACATAATAAATAAATAAAATCTAAAATAATAATAATAATTCCAATATAATAATAAAGACCCTCAGCTGGGCAAGCAGATGGCGGTCATGGCAGTAATCCCAGCACTAAGGAAGCTGAGATCACGAGGCCTGACAGGAGTTCCAGGTGAGACCTCTTATGGAGTAAAACCATCTTGAAGCAAACAAAACTTAGTAGCTATTTTTTTAAATAATAAAAACAGAAAGCACAGCTGGGCTGAAGATACGCTGGACCCTGGATCCAATCCCAGGACTGGGAGGGTGGAGGAGATGAGTGACGACACCAATAATGATGATGAATATGATGGCCAGCACAGCCAGAGTTAAACGAGGAGGAAGACAGGGCCCCTAAACTAGGGCAAAGGTCCACCAGCAAGGTATCTCCATCACTGTTCATGCTTTGCAACAAAAGACACAGGGAGAGCAAATATCCAGGTCCAAAACCTGTTACTAGAGGACAGACTGGGACCAACAACTACCATGTATCTAAGACAAGTTTTTTAGGACACTGAAGCCTAATTTCAAGGGCTGTGGTCCCGATCTCAGGGCAGGCTAGAAGGAAAGAATTATCTCTTTCTAATTATGATTAGCTGTGCCACAGGCTGGGAAGAGACAGAATCATTACATGTCCCAGTGCTGTAATGAGAACTGTTAAAAAGCCAGGTTCAGTGCATCTGAGATGTGGAGAAGCCCAGGCCAGACATAGAAAGGACACATCCATAAAAACCAGGTTGAGAGGCTTACTTCCTGGTTTCCACATGCAGCTAGCGTTGTACCATCTTTTGGAATAATAACACAACTTATATGCTTAAATGGCTTTAAATTTAGATCTACCCAATTGACTTGAATCTAAGTAAGAATTATGTGAAGTTGACATAAAAAAAAAAAAAAGCCTACCTTCTCAACAAGTGGCTTCAGAGATTGTGTGTTTTTCTCTAGCACTTGCTGTGTATGAGTCATTCGCGCTGAGAGTCTGCAGCTCAGAGTCAGGCAATATCTAAACGTGCAATTTATGAAGTGGGAGACCTAGGCAAGTACCTAATTGTTCTGTGCTTTGGCCCCCTCATCTGTAAACAGAGATAATAATGGATCTACCTACAGAGTCGCTGTGAGGATCAAATACATGAAAAGCAGCCCTACCATAAAAGGCTCAATAGCTGTTAGAACATGAACCACAGAAGCCCAGGCCATTTGTAACACTCATCACAGGAGCCCGTTAGCACAGCACAGAGATTGCTACATTTAGAAATGAGGCAAGTTCATATCAGCCTCCTCCAACTGTAACCGTGCTGCCCTCCTCAAACTTAGTAAACTCTCTGTCTGCTACAGATGAATGAAGGACTGCTCATCAATTGCAGGGTGTTTGTATAAAGAACACGCAGCATTTGCTGCATGCACGAAGACCTTTAGACATACACATAATACAACTTAATGTCGGAAAATAAACAATAACTGTTGGCATAACTATAAATCTTTGTGCTTTATAATACATGCATCTTAAAATCTATTATTAAAGGACCCAAGCCACAGTGTATGAGTGAAGGGTGCTGTCCTTGTCCTGCTCCTGCAGCCCTGAACGCACCAGACGGATGTGTACTGCTCACGCCCCATCCCACTCTGCTCAGACTGCTTAGAACAAGCCCTGGTATCACTGTCTCTCATTCCCGGTGGAGTCAGAGGGAACAAAGCATTGCTCCTGAGCCACACAGGGAGGCTTACAGCAAATGAGCATTAATGTTCACCTACTCCAGAGGGCTCGAGCATACTGCAGTCAGGCTTTCCCCACGTTCACTTCAGCAGGAAGGAAATTCTGGGCACTTGATTGTGTCCCTGAGAATAAAAAGTCAGCATTCACCAAATTACCCCTATAGCTGCCAAAGAACAATGGGGCTTCCGCAATTTTCTCCTTTTAAACAGATGCAGATAGGGCAGGACTTCAACACCAGCAAAATGTCAAGACCACTCTCCCGAGCACTTGTTCTACATCAGCATGTGGGCTGCTTAGCTAGGCTCTGTGCCTTGCTAGAGACTGCCCCAAACTGCCTTCAGCCATTTGCAAAGGGGAGACATAGAGGAGAAAGCACAGCTTTGCACCCCTCCCTCTCAACCCGGAAAACACAGAAAAAGGCATAAATGTCTCTTCAACATAATTCAAAGCATCGTCACTAGGTAAAGCCCTTGCATAAATGTCTTGATAATTATATTCCAATACACTCTCTCAGGCCTTATGGAAGATGAAAAACACCATTTTTCCATTCCAAGCAATCTGTTAAAGAAAACCAGCATTACTTGTAAACAGATTCCAAGCTATCAGAAGGGTAAATTAAAAATACACTTGTGTGTTTTGGATACATTCTTTAAACCATTTGTCAGATCCGTGTTTTAACAAGAATCTATGACTGGCCCCACAACTTCTTGAGCTCAAAATGAATCTTTATATTCTAGCTTCTTCCAGTTAAATAATTAGTGCCTATGGCGTTTTAGTATTTATTAGTTATGTACATCTTTAAGACAATCCCATCTGGGCATGGTGATGCATGCCAATAATCCCCACTACCTGGAGGGTAGAGGCAGGAGGATCAGGAGGTGAAGGCCAGCCTCAGCTACCTGATAATTTAAAGACCAGCCTGGGGTATAGGGGACCTCAAAAAAACATGCACAGGTAAAAAAAATAATGTATGACAATATCATAATGGAAACCATTATTGTGTAGAATTAATATATACTAATAAAAACTGAAAAAAAAAAGCTCACAGTATGTTTTCATGTTTTAGTCTTTGGGCACAATTATTTCCTTACATACCTAGTTTTCTTTCTGGAAATAGCCTGACAGGTGAAAAGACTTTCACATTACCTGGCCTGATCATATTTCCTAGAAGAGGACTTAAGTCACACAAAATATATCAACCCCTAAGGAAAACAACAGCAGGTGCTAAACTTTTCTGGAATCATTTGCTACCACATCCAGCTCTGCATCTATCTTTAATTCCTACCAGCAAATCAAAAAAGACCACCACCCCAGCACAGTCCTCTGGATTATAAAGTAAGGACTGGATCCTACCAATGCACAGAGCCAAGATCCTGAGCCCAGCTCAGTGGCAGATCACTTACTTGACTAGCATGTTCAAGGCTTCCATTGTCTTAAAGATGTACGAAAACACATCTGTGAGAGTTTTAAACTAAGCAAATGCACGGGGCTGGTGCCAGTCATAAGGAAATAAAGAGCAAGGTTTTCACCCCAGAGATACTCCCATGAAAATAAAAAGTCTTATATCCTCCAATGGCTAGAGTCACGTGTTTGCAAACTAAACCCTGTGTTCTTGTGTTTCTAGCCACTGTATCATTTGCAGGGATCTGAAGAAGCATTTCCCAAAGAGTATCTGCTAGATGTTGCTGTGTGTGATGCTAACAGAGACTCAAATACACTCTGAGTGATGAGGCAACAGAAAGATACCTCATCACTGTGGTGCCTGCTCAGGACTTCTGTATGCTAATGTACACGATAAATTCCGAGATCAGATCCTAGGATGAAGTTTGCAGGAGGCCACACTGAGCAAGATCTTGAAGAGAGTTCTAGAAGGGCTTCCAAGAAGGCTTTGGTCCAGGCTTTGGTCAGAGTGTGTCCAGGCACATTTTAGGGCAACTTCTAAAGGTCTCACCTGATATGTGTTGCAGGAAGGGATTCATACTGGCGGGATAGAAAGAGCTCCCTATGTTTCAACTGATGCTTCTGCTTCTCAGTCAAGTCAGCCTCAACCGTCATCTCCGTTTCTTCCTCCGTCTCTTCTACACAAACAAAACCGAAAGAAACCATCATTACAACTTGTGTCGCCTTTTGGGATATTAAAACAGAATGAATGCACAGGTCAAATTAGTATTTCATCATCTGATAATTTCTTCATGCTAATCACTTTTGAACTTCACATTAAACTTTTCATTGCAACCCCAGCCCTAAAATTAAGTTCTCTGGGCTGCCAAGGAAGAAGATAAACACCTCTGTTAAAAGGTTAAATGCAAATAATGGAAGAGGACACCCAATACCCTCTTCTGGCCTTTATGAAGACATACCTGAGAACACATGTGTGGGCACTCACACAGATACACACAAGTAAATTCCTCTAAAATAATAAGTAACATTAAAAGAAAATGACTGTTAAAATGGCAGCTAAGACATGAGTGTCGGTAGCATATGCCTGAAGCCCAATACTCAAGAGGCTGAGGCAGGAGGATGAGGAGTTCTAAGCTAGCCAGGGCTACAAAGTAAGAGCCGATCTCAAAATTCCTTAATTAAAATAAAATATAAATAGAGTTGGGTGTGGTGGCGCACGCCTTTGATCCCAGCACTGGGGAAACAGCGGCAGGTGGATCTCTGTGAGTTCCAGCCCAGCCTGGTCTACAGAGTGAGTTCCAAGTCATCCAAGGTTACACAGAAAAACCCTGTCTCAAAAAACTAAAAAACAAATGAGAGAGGCAGAGACTAGAGGGGCAGTAGGGATGGGGACTAGGCAGCAGAACTTCCAATTGAACAACACAAATAATAAACCAACTGAAAGATTAGAATTGAGGAAATATCCTTAGAAATTAGGACCTGAAGAAGGAAATAAATAACTGAAAAACAGACAAACAAAACACTAGCCCAGCCATGGCGCTGGGAGTGCTGAGCATATAGGAAGCCCTGAGGTTGAGCACCAGGATGGCACAGGCCCCCAGTGAAGGTGTACACTGAACCCCAGCACTCAGAAAATGAAGGCAGGAGGTCAGAAAGGTCATCATGGACTATAGTCCACAGCCAGCATGGGATATAAGAGAACTGTCTCAAAAAACAAAGCCAATGGCCTGGGCCCAGCATCGGAGGGTCCCATACCCTAGAACTGTCTCAAAAAACAAAGCCAATGGCCTGGGCCCAGCATCGGAGGGGCCCAGCTCCAGCTCTGTGTACACAGGAATCACATTTCTCACACTTCAACCTTTTTTTTTCTTGTATGAATACTATAAGCCAAATCATTTTTGGAGGGGGAAAACATACGTGTAATACCAGAGACTGAGGCAGGAGGCTGGAGCTCAAGGTCTACCTGGGCTTTATAGACTCTAGGCCCTGTTTCCAAAGCAAAAACAATGATTTGAAAACCATGAAGACCAACATTACACAAGGAAAAAAGAAATGCCCCAGAAAGAAACAGAAGAAAATGGCCATCTTTCTAACCATCTTTTTGTTCTTTTCTCTCCGCAGCAGGCATAGGAAGGAAGGGTTATTGGAAACCCTTGCCTTCCAGCACCCTCCACACACTTCATTCGTTTAAAAGTGACAATGTAAGAAACTGGTCAAGACTACTTGTTCCTGGTGAGCCTTGTGTTAAGATAGTGGTACAGTGCCACCCAAGAAGAAAGCAAATGATACCCGCCTAGAATTGTAATCGATTCTCCAGTCTGGGAGCAAAGAGGTCTTTTCGTCTACGCAACCAGCATTTATTAGGGGTGAGGCAGGAGCTACTCAACAAGCAGGATAGGGACTGAGAAATGACTCCCAGCCGTGGCTGAGAGAAGCAGGGCCAGAGGCCATGAGCAAAAATGAAACAACAAGGTTTCATATGGTGTGTCTTGTCGATTAGTGAGGCTCCCTAGCCAGGTAACAGAAGCTGGCCTCAAACTCACTCACTTATACTTTACTACTGCTGTGACAGCACACAAACCAACAGCAACTTGGGGAAAGAAGGAGCCTATTTCACCCACACTTCCATGGAATGATGCGTCATTAGGCAAGACAGGGCAGGAACTCAAGACAGGGCAGAAATTGTTTGTTCTGTAACCAATAAAGCTTGCAGGGAGATCAGAGTGTACAGCTGGCCACTAGTTAGCCAGAGAGGCCAGGCAGTGGTGGCACACACCTTTAATCCCAGCACTAGGGAGGAGGAAACAGGAAGTGACATAGTTGGGCTGAGAGAGGAATTTAAGGCAGGCAGAGATAGGAGCTAACCCTTTTTTGGTCTGAGGATTTTGTAGAGGTAAGAACTCTATTGGCCCAGGTGTTGGTGGCTCACACCTTTAATCCTAGCACTCTGTGAGTTCAAGGCCAGCCTGGTCTCCAGAGCGAGTGCCAGGATAGGCTCCAAAGCTACACAGAAAAACCCTGTCTCGAAAAACCAAAAAGAACTCTATTGGCTGGCTGCTCTGCTTCTCTGATCTTTCCGCTTTCACCCCCTAATATCTGACTCCGGGTTTTATTATTAAGATCGTTAGAACTCATGCTACACTGAAAAAGCTGGAGACAGTGAAGCAGAGGAAACTGCTTACTGGCTTGCTCAGTCTGCTCTCTTATACAACTCAGGACCATCTGCCTAGGGGTAGCACCCCCTACAAGGGTTGTACCCTCCCACATCATTAAGAAAATGCCTGACAGACTTGACCACAGGCCAATCTTATGGAGGTTTTCTCCACTGAGATTCCCTCTTCCCAAAGGCCTCTAGCTTGCTGTGTCAAGTCAACAAAAACCAGCCAGCCCACTCACCATCCTCTCCTGAGTATTGATGTTTGGTGTTTACTACCACACCTGGGACATAATCTTTTTTTTTTTTTTTTTGACATTACATTTAATATCTTTAAAGAGAAAGGGACACCAATATCATTTACAGACAAAATTCTGATTACTTTGAACTACACAACTTAAAAAACAACTCCTCTGGAGGCTCACTGGTCCCTTGCAGCCTCACCTGGAGCCGACTGTGTGGCTATGGGGGATATCGGGAGTGCAGTGACTCAGTGAGCTGCAGGACACAGGAAGAGGGCAGGAAGCACGACTTGGAACACCTGGCTTCACACCGAACCCTTAACCCTTAATCAGAGGTGCCACGCAGACAGACAACAATATATCTAATTGTCACAATTCTTATTTCGGGGCCCAGTACCATAGAAGCCATTTTATCAAACACAATTCCCCACAATTCTTTTTTTTTTTTTAATTGCAAGAGGGCCTGTCGTCTCCCTAATTTCAGATTTTAAAGATCTAAATTGAAAACATGCCTGGGAAACAGATTGGTTTTATGTGGGCTCAGGGGGGTCATGGTATGTGCCACGAAGCTTTGATGCCACGGGTTCCAATCCCTGGGACCCCACATAATGGAAGGAGAAAAGTGATGCCGCCACATTGTCCTCTGACCTCCATATATGTGTCGAGGTAGACACGGGAATATACACCACACACACACAGTACCGGTGTAATAAAAGTCTCACTGTAAGGATTCAGGCATGATGCTTGCCTGTCCCTGTCACGTGGCAAAGTGCATTCAGGCAGTGCCCTGGTCAGCCCAGGGTTCCACGATTGCATAGTCTGCACGACACAGGTGCAAGGGACCCTTTAAAAGAAAGACCCCGCCCACTTATCTTTCTGGCTGTCTTTCTTGCTGTTCCTCTGGGGCAGACAGGACTTTTCCTGTCTCCCTTTTCTCTTCTGTCCTCTCTCAGTCTCTTTACCTCTTTTCTCTTTCCTTCCCTTCCCTCCCCTTTCTAATAAAACTTCTCATTAAGCTGTCTGCCTGATGTGTTTGTCCCCCACGCCGGTCACCTTCTCCTGCCATGGAATCCGCCAAGGTCCCCACGAAAGGTCCCACTTGAGCTTTATCAGAACACTCACCATGCTCAAAGAACAAGGCAAATCGCAAATCGCCTGCGCTGGTGGCGCACGCCTTTAATCCCACCACTCAGGAGGTAGAGGCAGGTGGATCCCTGTGAGTTCGAAGCCAGCCTGGTCTACAGCGGGAGTTCCAGGACAGCCTCCAAAGCAATACAGAGAAACCCTGTCTTGGGGGAAAAAAAAAAAGAACAAGGCAAATCACGATGGCTTGGATGTTCTTTCTGATGACACACACAAAGAGAAGCACAGCACCAAAAGGAACACTCAGCAGGTCTAATAACGTCTCACCAGTGGGGATCGATAGAATTATGACTGCACTGGCACTATTAGCACGGCAAATACCACATACAGAATTAGGCTCTTTCCCTAACTGGAATTTGATAAATTGTTGTTCTAAAAGATATGGCTAGCTGAATTCTAATGGTGCCCGCACAGCAAAAAGCACCAATACATATAGCAACAACAGCACCTTTTTTATTGTTTTGGTTGGGGTATTTTTTGGCTCTGTTCTTGTTTTTTAGACAGGATCTTACTTTGTAGCCCTGGCTGGCCTGGAACTCTCTATGTACACCAGGTTGGCCTTGAACCCACAAAGATCTGCCTGCCTCTGCCTCCAAAGTGTGTGTGTGTGTGTGTGTGTGTGTGTGTGTTGTATGTTTGTATGTATGTATTGTGTAAATGTTTGTGTGTATGTGTATATATTTGTATGTATGTATGTTTCTAGCAGAAGCTGGTTTGGAATTCACTATATAGTCCAGGCTGACCTTAACTTAAGATATTCCTCCTCCCTCAGTTTACCAAATGCTTTTTGGTTTTTGGGTTGTTTTTATTTTTGGGGTGTGTGGGGGGGGGGTTGTGTGTGTGGGTGGGTGTGTGGTCATGAGGACAAAACACAGGATCTGAGCTCCTGAGCAAGCACTCTACCACTGAGCTATACACCCACTAAAATTTTGTTTGTTTTAGTTTTGGTTTGATTTTTTTAAGACAGGGTCTCACTATGTAGCTCTGGCTGTCCTAGAATTCACTCTGTAGACCAGGCTGGCCTCCAACTCACAAAG